CCCATGGAGGTGGACCCACCTCAGGACGAAGAGCAGCCCATGGAGGTGGACCCACCTGAAGACGAAGAGCAGCCCATGGACGTGGACCCACCTCCAGCACGGTGCCCAGGGAGATTGACCCAGCGCGGGCTCAAGAGGAAGCGATGAAGGGGGACCCACGACAAGAGCCAGAGCAGCCCAGGGACCTGGGCCCACCTCCTGCATGGTGGCCCTGGCCCCACACCACCTCACCAACCCCAGAGCAGGAGCACCAGCCCAGCCTCTGTGCCTGCAGCTGCCCAGGAGCTCCAGTCTCCGTGCCTGCAGCTACCCAGGAGCTCCAGCCTCCATTCCCAGCCATCCTGGGGCTCACCCATTCCACCCCCACAACCAGCAGCTCTGCTCTTGGTGGCCTTGGGGAGCAGGAGCCCTTCTCTCCCGTTCCCCCACCCCAGCCCCTACACCCCTGTTGTTAAGGTTGTTGTTTAATTAAGAAGTTTTTTCTCATGGTTGTTTTTCTTGTTGTTTTTCTCACGTTTGTTGCATAATTAAAAAACATAAGTAAGTTAAGCTTCTCTCCTCTCTTCTTTGGGATGTGGGACCAACCCAGGGACTGGGAATTGTTGAGGGGCCCAGGACACATGGTGCACAAGAGGGAACTGCCTCAGCTCATGAGGGTGAGGAGACCCTGGAGCTGGTTGCCCAGAGCAGGGGTGGGTGCCCCTTCCCTGCAAAAAGCATTCAAGGAAAGGTTGGATGGGGCTCAGAGCAACCTGATCTACTAAAAGATCAGAACCAGGTGACCTTGATAGGTCCACCCCCACCATCCTACAGGGTTTGTTAGTAAAGAATTCTTCCAGATTTTAGACATCAGGAAGAAATTCCTTCCAAGGAGGGTGCTGAGACACTGGTCCAGGTTGCCCAGGGAAGCTGTGGCTGCCCCATCCCTGGCAGTGTTGAAGGGCAGGTTGGATGGGGCTTGGAGCAACCTGGGCTGGTGGGAGGTGTCCCTGCCCACGCAGGGGGTTGGAACAAGACGATCTTGAAGGTCCCTTCCAATGTGGAGCTCCTGGAGCAAGTCCAGAGGAGGCCAGAGAGATGATCAGAGAGCTGGAGCAGCTCTGCTCTGGAGCCAGGCTGAGAGAGTTGGGGTGTTCAGCCTGGAGAAGAGAAGGCTCCAGGGAGACCTTAGAGCACCTTCCAGTGCCTGAAGGGGCTCCAGGAAAGCTGGGGAGGGACTTGGGACAAGGGCAGGGAGTAATGGGACATGGCAACAGTTTTATGCTGAAAGAGGGGAGAGTTAGAGGAGATCTCAGGAAGAAACTCTTTTCTGTGAGGGTGGTGAGACCCTGGCCCAGATTGCCCAGGGAAGCTGTGGTTGCCCCATCCCTGGAAGTGTCCCAGACCAGATGGCATAGGGCTTGGAGTAAACTGGTCTAGTGGGAGGTGTCCCTGTCCATGGCAGGGGGGGTTGGAATGATATTATCTCTAAGTTCCCTCTGAACCAAAACCAGTCTGGGATTCTATGATTAAAGCAATGGTGCCCAGTCCCAGGCAGCCCCAACGCACCCATTTTCTCCAAGAGTAGTCAGCCCTGATGAACAGAATGGTATTTTACACCTCTTTTCTAAAGGATAAATAATTTTTAAGTTTTCAAACTTCTACACCTTGCCTTTCAAAGAGCTGCACACATACTGTGTGAATGTCTGCTACTAAAACCCCTTTTGTAGCCTAAATTCAGCCTGCACATCCCTGAGTTGCACAAACCAAGCTCTCCCTACTAACATTAGCACCATTCATTCACACCCCCTCACATAAAGGGGTTAAGAAGTTGCATTGTTTCCT